GCACTCCTTTCCAAAACAGGACGATTAATAACTTTTCAAATCTGTCCCCGGCAGGGTCGTGAGTCGGGGACCGCTTCGGTAGCGCGCGCGTTGGCAAATAAATAGCAGATAAATAAAAGCGCGCGTCTCTCCTACGTCGTGCATTCTGTCGTGCGCGCGGGGTTGCGTGTGCAGATGGCAACAATATGCCGTGAAATATTGCCGGTGGTCGATGTGTGCTACCGCCGCGATACGCACACGGACGCGTATTCGTATGTATGTATGGCGCGAGACCGTGATCGGTAGTGGTTAAATATAGGGTGTCCCGAAAACACTGGGCTTTATTTTAATCACTGATTTTGCAACAGCTTGAAACAAACTTTCTTTTTATTTAATTAAAATGTCAAAATATCAATGATTATGAACAATTAACGATATGTAAAGAGCTTTTCGCGAACTAAACGATCAATTAAAATCTTGTGTTTTTTTTTAATGTCAATCTCTTAACATACTTTCTGAAAAAAAATTCTGATATTAAATTTATAAAAAATTGTATCATTAAAATTATAATTTGGAGTTTCGATAATACAGTTTTCTGCAAGTGTGCTTCGCTTGCTGCGCCACGCACATTTGGAAAATGATCGTTCGTGTATGCGTGTGTCGCTGTGCGTACGGATGTATTCGTATCCTACAGTCACAGTACGAATTTGCGTGCTCGAACACAAACGCGCGCGAGATGTGTACGTATAAGAAAGTTTGGCTGTGTCGACCGCGTTCGCGTCCTCGGGTATACCTGCCTGCGCCAAACTTGAAATTCATGGTACACCAGGTTACACCGTAGTATATAGCGCAGCCGAAGGGGAACTATCGAGGCAGTTCCCGAAGGGCAGTGTAGGCACCGTGTTATGACTTTCAGAATGGAGAGGCACAATGGCCCAGATCCGCGCCGGATAAAATAGTTATTATAATCGTTTTGGCTACGGCTGGAATTGAAGAACGATACACGCGCGAGCTTGTGTGTGCCGATATATCCGGCGTCATGGATGTAGAGGAATGTGCGAGTTCGATGGCTGGATTTCGACTGGGAGTCTTCATTTTTCGGGTGATAATAGAACTAAAATAGAAGATGCACACCTGACTGGAGCATAAAATGCTGATTCTAATTTATACGATTTCTTTTCTAAAAATCAAACTAAAAGAGAGCTAGATATCTTTATACATGTAGCGTATAATATTATGCATAGTGGTTTTTTTTTCGACACAATAAATTTAGCGACTTTATTTCATCATTTTGCAATGAAAAATCTTATTTCAAATTAAAGTAGAAATATTTATTATAAAATTATAAAAATTAAAATTATGAAATTATTACTTGTAATGTAATGTATGTATGATGTTTTCTATTCAAGTAACTAAATTCTATTATTCCATATTATTAATTATTTTTCACGTGTTTCTTTCTCTAAAATTTTTATGAAAATTATTTTTGATATTAATGAAACTCTGGTGTATTCTTAAAGCATCGTCTTCTTAATTTTTTTAAATTCTTTGAATCCGCATTATATATTTTTTAGAAATATTAAAAAAAAACCGTACTTCCGTTGAGAATTTTGGGTGATTATAACAAATTTCTGTTCTTCACAAAAGTCAAAGTGGCCAGATCGGAAGTAGTCTATCAATTTCAAAGACGGAAGAAGCGGCACACACAAGAACTGAAGAATCTTTTCTTCGTTCCTTCTTTGAAGAAAACTCATACAACTTTAGTTTTCAGAAAATCCCAATGTGATATATAGGCGTATGTTTCTTTTGTCCAGAGGTTCGAACTCGCAATCTCATTCTCTACTCTCTCCGTCTCGTCATCTCTCTTCTGTATCGTGGATGTCCAATATAATAGATGATTTTTCGCAGCTATTGTATTCGTGAGGACATTCTTGAAGCAGCACCAGACATTGTTGTGAACTTTGCCGAATTTAGAAAACCGAAACCCATCCTACGTCGATCTTTCGACCAACCTCTCTTCCTTCGCCATTCTATTTTTAGCAGGCCCTCAAGTGGATAATTTTCTTGTTATACATTCGGTATTAGTGGAGGTCTCGAAAGTTTTCTTGTCAAATATATATATATCGATTTCAGCAATCACGATCGACGGAGGAGATACGAAAGTCACACACCCAATCACAATGACTCGATCTTACAGCGGCTTAGGATCACCAGATATCGGATCTCCGTGAGCTCGAAGTTTCGTTTTTCATTTGCGATCGGTGGAATAATAACGATTGCTTTTTTACTTCCTCTCGCCGTTTATTTTCCGCCGAATAATTTTCGCTCTTGCGGCACGTGCAGATGAATTCGAGATTGGTGATTTTTTTCACGTTTGGAAAGGGACTGTACGGAAGCGCGTGTGATAAACGTCGTGATTTAATGACGGTTGGTCGAACGTACGTATATTCGGTAGGAATTAAAGTTTCGAGCCGCGCTACGGGAGGGTGATTTCATCCGCCGGCGCATCGTGGGAGAGTGAAAACAGTCGCCGCGCGTTAATCATCGTCCGCGATGCAGTTCACTCGGATAGGCACGAAAGTATTGTCCCATATATCTCTCCGAGATCTAAATTGCGAATAGCGAGCACTCGAAATTCGACACCGGCCGCTCCTATGATCCCGGGTCACTCTCGGGCTTCGATAGCGAAATGTTTACGCAGCACCTGCGTTTGTGTATCCACAGATTCGTTCACGATACCGGGATCACGGCAGGACAAGATCCCGGATTTGTATTAAGCGGGAACGCTTTTCCTTTCCGCACGAGCGCCTGCCCACGGAAACAGAAGAAATAGACGGCGAGCTTCGAGAGAGCTCCTTCGAAACGCAACTAAAGTTTTTGCCGAAATGTTAACGCGCGCGCGAAACGAGGAGAAATAGGGGGGGGAGGGAGGGAGTAAGTCGGCCGAGGGAAAAGAGCACGGGCGAGGAAAAAAGAACCGCAAACCCGTGGGTAAGCGTAACTACCGGTTGATGCGCCGATCATTCCGCCATGATGGCTCTGAAAGGGAGAGCGCCATCGGCAGATGTTTCTTTGCTGAAGTAATTCGAGTGTTTGTCCGTTCCCTCTCTTCTCTTCTCCCGTCTCTCTCGTTCGCCGCCGTCCTCGTCCGTGCACCGGGGAGGCCCCACGGGCCTCCATGATATACCATCTCTCGATGTCTATTGGAAAGCACGCTACCTTCAGATCGCGTTGGGATAAGATAATGGTTGACCCAAATAACGTCCTGATGGAACGAGGCGGATCTCGTTTAACCCGCCTAAGAAATTATTATACCGCTCCAGATTTAATTACGAGTCTTTGCGGGCGTCGAATATTTGCTGCCAAACGCAGTAAAATTTACATTATTCACTTTCCATCCACATAATCGTTTACTTCACTTGTAAAGATAATTATCGAACGACTTTGTTGCAAAATATAATTTTATGATGAAACATCGGGATCTACAGAAGCTCGTCGTCTTCCTCCGGCGCGTCCATTCGTCGCTGTTCCCGCGAATCGTCGTCAACCGGGCGCGCCTCATCCTTGATC